CATCACGTGTGTCTCATCACGTGTCCCACGTGCCGTCACGTGTGTCTTACCACGCGTGTCTCTCACCACGTGTGTCTCATCACGTGTGTCTCTCACCACGTGTGTCTCATCACGTGTGTCTCATCACGTGTGTCTCACCACGCGTCTCTCACCACGTGTGTCTCATCACGTGTGTCTCTCACCACGTGTGTCTCATCACGTGTGTCTCACCACGCGTGTCTCTCACCACGTGTGTCTCATCACGTGTGTCTCTCACCACGTGTGTCTCATCACGTGTGTCTCACCACGTGTGTCTCATCACGTGTGTCTCATCACGTGTGTCTCACCACGCGTCTCTCACCACGTGTGTCTCATCACGTGTGTCTCTCACCACGTGTGTCTCATCACGTGTGTCTCACCACGCGTGTCTCTCACCACGTGTGTCTCATCACGTGTGTCTCACCACGCGTCTCTCACCACGTGTGTCTCATCACGTGTGTCTCTCACCACGTGTGTCTCACCACGTGTGTCTCACCACGTGTGTCTCATCACGTGTGTCTCACCACGCGTCTCTCACCACGTGTCTCATCACGTGTGTCTCATCACGTGTGTCTCACCACGCGTCTCTCACCACGTGTGTCTCACCACGTGTGTCTCACCACGTGTGTCTCACCACGTGTCTCTCACCACGTGTCTCATCACGTGTGTCTCATCACGTGTGTCTCACCACGCGTCTCTCACCACGTGTGTCTCACCACGTGTGTCTCATCACGTGTGTCTCACCACGCGTCTCTCACCACGTGTCTCATCACGTGTGTCTCATCACGTGTGTCTCACCACGCGTCTCTCACCACGTGTGTCTCATCACGCGTGTCTCTCACCACGTGTGTCTCACCACGTGTGTCTCACCACGTGTGTCTCATCACGTGTGTCTCACCACGCGTCTCTCACCACGTGTCTCATCACGTGTGTCTCATCACGTGTCCCACGTGCCGTCACGTGTGTCTTACCACGCGTGTCTCTCACCACGTGTGTCTCATCACGTGTGTCTCATCACGTGTGTCTCACCACGCGTCTCTCACCACGTGTGTCTCATCACGTGTGTCTCTCACCACGTGTGTCTCATCACGTGTGTCTCTCACCACGTGTGTCTCATCACGTGTGTCTCTCACCACGTGTGTCTCACCACGTGTGTCTCATCACGTGTGTCTCATCACGTGTGTCTCACCACGCGTCTCTCACCACGTGTGTCTCATCACGTGTGTCTCTCATCACGTGTGTCTCACCACGTGTGTCTCACCACGTGTGTCTCATCACGTGTGTCTCACCACGCGTCTCTCACCACGTGTCTCATCACGTGTGTCTCATCACGTGTCCCACGTGCCGTCACGTGTGTCTTACCACGCGTGTCTCTCACCACGTGTGTCTCATCACGTGTGTCTCATCACGTGTGTCTCACCACGCGTCTCTCACCACGTGTGTCTCATCACGTGTGTCTCATCACGTGTGTCTCTCACCACGTGTGTCTCACCACGTGTGTCTCACCACGTGTGTCTCATCACGCGTGTCTCTCACCACGTGTGTCTCATCACGTGTGTCTCACCACGCGTCTCTCACCACGTGTGTCTCATCACGCGTGTCTCTCACCACGTGTGTCTCATCACGCGTGTCTCTCACCACGTGTGTCTCATCACGCGTGTCTCTCACCACGTGTGTCTCATCACGTGTGTCTCACCACGCGTCTCTCACCACGTGTGTCTCATCACGCGTGTCTCTCACCACGTGTGTCTCACCACGTGTGTCTCACCACGTGTGTCTCATCACGTGTGTCTCACCACGTGTGTCTCACCACGCGTCTCTCACCACGTGTGTCTCATCACGTGTGTCTCACCACGCGTCCTCACCACGTGTGTCTCATCACGCGTGTCTCTCACCACGTGTGTCTCACCACGTGTGTCTCACCACGTGTGTCTCATCACGTGTGTCTCACCACGCGTCTCTCACCACGTGTGTCTCATCACGTGTGTCTCTCACCACGTGTGTCTCATCACGTGTGTCTCACCACGCGTCTCTCATCACGTGTGTCTCATCACGTGTCCCACGTGCCGTCACGTGTGTCTTACCACGCGTGTCTCTCACCACGTTGTCTCACCACGTGTGTCTCTCACCACGTGTGTCTCATCACGTGTGTCTCACCACGCGTCTCTCATCACGTGTCTCATCACGTGTCCCACGTGCCGTCACGTGTGTCTTACCACGCGTGTCTCTCACCACGTGTTCTCACCACGTGTGTCTCACCACGTGTCTCTCATCACGTGTGTCTCATCACGTGTCCCACGTGCCGTCACGTGTGTCTTACCACGCGTGTCTCTCACCACGTGTCTCATCACGTGTGTCTCACCGTGTGTCTCATCACGTGTTCCACCACGTGTCTCTCACCACGTGTCTCATCACGTTGTCTCACACGTGTCTCACCAGTGTCTCTCACCACGTTGTCCTCATCACGTGTGTCTCTCACGTG